AAAAGAATGAAATCTGTCTTTTGCAATAAAATAAATATAATTGGAGACCATTATGCTTAGTGAAATAAGTCAGTCTAAAATAGACAAAATCACATTTTTGCTGATATGTGACAGTTAATATAGAATATAAAAATTCATAGAAATGAAATGTACATCTTGTTATATGATTGTTGTTTTAGCCCTTGTTTATACTCCTGTGGAATTGTGGTCTTCTTATTTTATATTCACTGAACATTATTGTTTGTAATTGAATTAAGTCTGTGATTATAGAGTGGATTGAGCTTATTTTTTCAAGGTTTTCAAAAAAAGGAAAGAAGGAAGGAGGGGGATTGAGAGAGGGAGGTAAGTGTGATTGTCCTATGAAATACATGAAATATGTTCTCTTTATATTAATAAAAATTTAAAATTTAAGCAGCAATACTAGAAGAATCCTACATACTTCATAGCAGTGAATATGAAATCCCAATAGATCCTGTTCACCTTCTGCTATAGCCTTGGGTCTGTGGTCCAAAGGCTAACTATCCCGGAATGACTAGGTATCCTTACCCACGAAGCAACAAATCCATCCAAAGAGATAACTATCCAGTTTCCATGTGTGTCCCGTATAGGTTTACTACCTCCATCTTCTCTGAATACCATTGTATGCCTCTGAATGTACACCGTTTACAGATAAAACACACATATTCCCACTTGTCTTTGAAAATACAGATATCATCCAGAGGCAGTGTATATTTTTCACCTGTACTGAGTCACCCACGCGTAAGAATCATTGCAATGTACAGAGTCAGCACATATCTCAGTGTGTTCACAGATTTTCTGTGTTTGCCTGCTTTCATACATAAGCCTCCAAATAAGGATGGGTAAAGATCATTCCTGTATTCTGCATTACTTGGGTTCTGGCACCATCTCCCCAGAGGGGTGTGTTATTTGTGAGACTGTTTCAAGGAAATAGAAGATACATACACACACACACACACATGCGTGCTTGCACACACACAATTTGCTTCACCTTCCTTGTTCTTATAGTCTGGTTGGGAAGAATGGGGTAGTGTGTTTCTAGTAAGTCTAAGCCATCTCTTTTGCCTTGAGATTACATTTAGATGACTGTTTTTTTTTCCTTAGAATTCCCCTCTCTGATGCCCTTGAGCCTTGGAAAGGCCAAATACTTTCCTGAAGGCTGTGTCCCTTGGGAGGTCCCTTGTGGGTGGAAGGGAGTTGAATCCTGCTCCATCACTAGCTTGGAGACAGGCAGTAGCACAAATAGCTCCATCAGAGCTTGAACTCAGGCTCAGCAAGAGCGAAGTGGACTTGAGCAATGACAATCTGTGCTTATGCACATTGTTTCCCTCTTCCTTGCCTGCAGGATTTCTTCTCTTTCCTCTGTGTAAGCTGGCCATCCTGCCAAGGCTGGGAAGAGAGTTAAATCAATAAAAAATGGTGAGTTGATAATTCCAAAAAAGGGTTTGGTCAGCTTTTAATAATTTATTATTTTTAAGGAAAGCATGAAATAATTGAAAATCATATTATTTATTTCATCAGAATTTTAATTTGATAGTTTTAAAAATTGTTTTCCTTCTGTGATCCTATGATGAGTATGTCATACTGGGATATAGACAGAGAGAGAACTTGTTAGATTATATAGATTAATTTCAAATCAATAAAAATTCTGTTAGCTTTTATGCATAGCAAGTCACATGAAAATGTTAGGAATTCAGTGATACCTTGTGGTCTAGATTTTCACATGATTTTAAGGCTCTACTGTGAGAAATTATTCTAGATGAAATAGACTTGAGCTTCTGATAATTACCTGGTGATCTCTGGAAATCCATCCTATTAATGCATCAACCCAACTCTCTGCTGTGCCACAGTCAGTACAGTTCTACTGTGACTTAGACAAAGAGAGAGAAAGTGATAGGGAGGATAGGTTCAACCTGTGAGAGTATATAAATGAACATTTATGTGTGTGTGAGGAGTAGCGAGTGTGGTGTAGTCATGCAAGTGTGCACTTTTATGTTAAATAAGGGCAGTAGCTTGCAAAGAAGATGGTGGTTACAGAAATTTTGATGACTAAAATCCCTTAGAACATACAGGGTTTCCATAAGATAAGAGATAAGACTCCCTTTTAACTTATTAATCATTCAGAAAAAAAACTCAGTCACATTTATCCTCAACTAGATAGCTTAAATATAAAATTAATTTTGCTAAAAATGAGAACTGAGATCTATAGAATTAAAGCTACTTCCTCTAGGTGTAAGAAAAATTATTTCAGATGTAGGTTGTGCGAAGTTATACAGTATGTTAAGGACCAGGGATGTTAAAGATTTTCCCCTCTAAGTTTTCAAACTTACAGCAAAAACCAAAAGGTCCAGAGATGTTCACTATGAAGGCTCCTTATTCTGTCCTTCTACAAGCTAAGGAACTGCTATGAACATATTCAAAAGCACAGTTGTTCCTAAGAGGTCCTGGGGAAAGGGAGAGGGGCTAGAATTATATCCCTTTAAAATGGATTTAAAAGATCAATTTCCTATTTAGAAAATAGCTTGTTAGTGAGGGCCCAAAGCTGATACATCTATCTCTGACTAACCCCTCTTTTTTCTCACGTCTCTGCAGGAGTTGACAGATGGTTAGAACAAGTCCAGATGACAATTCTACCATATGTCTCATTGCCTATGTCACATTTTGAGAATTCTTGTGTCATTTTGTCTTGACGGCTCTCCACGGAGGTTACGTAGCAATATTTCAAATGCTTTCTTTTCCAGTAATGCTTTTATCACATAAACTTTCTTCCCTGACCCTTCAAATCCCTACAAACAGAGCATATCCCTTGCAAAATTCATTGTGATCCTGGCTCAACCTCCATTGTCCATGGAGAAGACCATTTCTACCATCCCTGGGAATCAGAAGGAAAACCTGCTTTTCTCTAGTGGAAATTCAAGAGGATGACACTATACCTATTCCTCGTACTCAGAAGGAAAACATGCCTTAAATCCCATGTGAATTTTCTACAATCTCATCTTATTGATCCACATTAAATATTACAGTTAAAGTGGAAAAATTCAAATAGGCACCAAACTTTAGGGGCTAATAACTTGACTTTTAACCAAATATAAATTAAGTGGTGTAGTCCAAAGAAGGAATTCTATGATAGGACAGTAGTATTCAGAGGAGATTGGGGGTTGAGTGAAATGTGTATCCCTGAGAAAGCAATGAGACACATTCTGTGCAACCTCAAAAAACATAACAGTGATGCATGAATGAAGCAACAATAGTTTCTAGAAAAGAAATGCTTATATCACCCAGAGATTTTTATTTTTTATTTTTTTATTTTTTTATTTTTTATTTTTTGACAGGCAGAGTGGACAGTGAGAGAGAGAGAGACAGAGAGAAAGGTCTTCCTTTGCCGTTGGTTCACCCTCTAATGGCCGCCGCGGCCAGCGCACCACGCTGATCCGATGGCAGGAGCCAGGGTACTTATCCTGGTCTCCCATGGGGTGCAGGGCCCAAGCACTTGGGCCATCCTCCACTGCACTCCCCAGCCATAGCAGAGAGCTGGCCTGGAAGAGGGGCAACTGGGACAGAATCCGGCGCCCCGACTGGGACTAGAACCCGGTGTGCAGGCGCTGCAAGGCGGAGGATTAGCCTAGTGAGCCGCGGCGCCGGCCCAGAGATTTTTAAAATTATGGTTCTCTTTGTAGATTTTGAGTATTCCGTTTCTGGAGAGTAACAGAAAAAGATTATGTGAATATTGGATTCTGTGCATCCAGGTTTCACAGATTTGGTAGGGAGTAAGTCTAATCAGGTCCTTGCTGCTCTAAGATTTTGTGTTTCCTGAGCTGAACGTTATCTCCTACTGTAGCAGTGTGTGTGTGCGCATTCTTAGCGTAATGCACTGTCAATTATGAAAGCTAGTGAATTGCCCTTGTTTTCAGATAAATCATGATTATATCTCTCACACTAACTTTTATGATTCTATTCAAATTAAACTGAAATTTAAGATGATTTGTCCTTCTTGAGATTACATTAATTGGACCGTCAAAGGAATTAAATTAAATAGAGTGTGTAAAATAACCAGAAATTACAGCTTGCCAGGGACTAAAATGTAATAATTAATAAAATGCTACTCTGCTAATATATATGAGAAAATTACTTCAACATTCTTTGATTACCTTATCCTAAAAAGAAAAATGAAAACAGAGTTTGAACTAAAATACCACTGGTTTTAAAATGATTTTATTTTGGAATAATCACCTAGCTCTTAGTTTTCATCTTGGAATTTTAAATATTTTACATTCCTCATTCTTTGAATCTTTATTTTTCATGCATAGAGTCATTAGAACTGTCTTGAAAGATAAAATTTAGTGTTCACAACACAAAAGAGAAACCTCTAGCTCACTAATCATCTTCTGCCTACATACACACAAAAAGCAGTGGGTTGTGAAAATGAAATTCATTATTTTATTTTGGGTCTGCCATTAAGGCACTAGCTTTCTGACTTTGAGCTAAATATTTAATATCTCTGAGTCTGGTGGGCACTTGTTAATGTGAAGATCAAATGAAGCAGTGTGAATGTGCTTTCAGATCACAAACATTACTGAAAATGCTATTATGCGTTCAGAGTGACCTCCTCCGGATCCAGCTGTTTTCTTTCTTTTTATTTATTTTTTTATTTTAAAAAAATTTTTGAGATGACCAAATTTTGTTCATTTCATATATACTGATTTAGGAACATAGTGATCTTCCCACCCTATCCTCCCTCCTGCCCAAGATACCACCTTTCCTCTTCCTTCCACTCTTATTCCCTCTCTTATTTTTTACAGTGATCTACTTTCAGATTATTGTATATTCAAAAGATTAATCCTGCACTAAGTAAAGAGTTCAGTAAATAGTAGGGAGAAAAAACAGTTCCTCAAAAGTAGAGACAAGGTCTGTAAACAGTCATTGAATCTCAAAATGTCAATTTTACTCCTATTCATTACATTTTTTGGTACTCTACTAGTTACAACAGATCAAGGAAAACATGATGTTTGTCTTTTGCGTATGGTGTATTTCACTAAGTATGCTTGCTCCACTTACTTCCACTCCCACTGAGGAAGAGCTGTTGACTGTGCTAGCCCCGTTCTCTTCCTCATAAATCTAGCACAGGAGCTGCTTAAACAGTCTTGGATGTTACTAGGATGCAACTCCGCCCAATTGTTTTCCTATTTCACTTGGCAACCAGAAAGCTCAATCCAAGTTCCATGCTCAGATAATGAAAGCTCTCCATCAAATGCTGTTGATACATATCCTGAACTCCATTTTATTGCTTTGTACCTGTTGGGCACCAAAAATATGTTGTGCCCAGATCGTTAGATCCTCGCAGAGACCCCCAGAGAGTCGATCACACCGAACTGCAAAAGCAAGGTTTATTCGGGAGTACAAGCCGCGACAGGGACCCCATCCAACCAACCGGCACAGCGGAGGAAGGAGTGAGGCCCTGGTCTTCGTTTGGGAGAGTTTTAAAGGAAAAAAGGGCTACATCAACAGGAAAAAGAGTTACATACAGCATGGAAGCTTCAGGCACAGGGAGTTACAGCGGGGGCTTACAGCGGGGGAGTTCTGGGCACAGGGAGTTACTTTGTTTAGCAATCTCTACTGTGCTGTCCTTGGTCTACGGAGCTAGCTGTTCCTGGTGAGCTTTGATATCTCTGGAATGCCTGAATGCCTGCTTTTACAAGGACCCGGGTCTGCTATGGGAAATGGAGGCTGTTTTTTTTTTTTTTTTTTTATTGTTTTAAAATGTAGTCACTTTGGTTCTTCATACCTATATTTGCTGCTTACTTTTCTGTGATTCTGCATCTTGGTTTTTATATTTCTGCTCAAAGTAGATGAAGAATGAATTAATGGATAGGTCTTGTGAAATTGTCACCCATTTCATTTACTAATTCTTAGTGATAAATTGTGTGTTTTATTTCCAACTTCAAGTCTGAGGCATGCACCCTGAAAAAACAGTATCTGTTGCTAAGGTGGTGTTAATAATATATTGAATTTCTTCTTAGAGTGATGTTTAGATCTATGATGTTAGACCACAATGCTACTAGGAGTCACTGAAGATGGTCCTAGGAAAAGAGATCAAGGAATAATGTTGTGTGTGTAGTTTCTGGAATATAAAAAAAAAAATGCTTCAAAAACAGAAGTACTACCCTTCAGTGACTAGAAATATGTTCTTTTCATCCATCCATGGGGAAACATGGGACAGTGATGAGCAAAGACCAGAATGGAGACTGGCCTAGTCTATTCACAAATAGACTCCTAGTTGACTTAGACTCCTGTAATGAGATTCAAAGAAAGCAAAGTTGAAAGAAAATCTAGGGAGGAATGCAAAACCTTTTTCCTGAGATCTACTGTCTTAATGTCTGGTGAACACTAGACTGCAGCAAGCAGGGATATGGTATGTCTGTGTATGTTTGTGTGTAAGTTTGTTAGAGCTGATTTGAGCAGAAAGAGACAATATGTGTTTAAAGAAATTATATATGACATTCCAACAGAAAACAAAACCTTTTGATAAATTTGTAATATGTTGGTTATTTATCTGTTTTCCTCTCTAAACATGAATAAATTAGGAGCTAATGAGTCTGCCTTTCTGTAGGATGCTAACACTGAGTTTTCAAGTGAGAAGACAGAAATAAATGAGTGAGCACTATTTTTCTAGCTCTTTTATTCCAAGACTATTTCCTTATGGAAAAATATAGCTTTCTCTGTTGTCCTAAATATGATAGCAGAAAAGAAAGCTCACTGAAAAATGGAAAACAACAGTGACTTTGGCTCTAGAAAAGAGGAAATAAGTAGCAGAATATAAAGAAAAATCTAGAAATGGCAAGTTGTCTTTGCTTTTAAGAGAAGGAGACAAAGCTCCCATTCCCTAATTCATTCCACCAACGACCATAATGGCCAGGGATGGGCCAGGCCAAAGCTGGGAACAGGAACCCATTCCAGATTTCCCACATGGGTGACAGGGATGCACGTACTTCAGCCATTACCTGCTGTCTCCCGGGGTGTGCATGAGCAAAAAACTGAAATTGGGAGCTAGAACTTGAATTCGACACTTTGAATTGAGGTGAGAGCATCCCAAACTGAATCTAACCACTAAGTTAAATGCTAATCCTGGTAACTTATTCAATAAGTTTCAGAATGAATCTCAGCCCAACCTAGAAAGAGGCCACACATTTTGCTGAATTACTGGACAGAATGAAGAAAATTTCTGAAGTTATTCTCTAACAGATTAGGATTCTTTGAGCAAATCAAGTCCTATAATCACTTCTTCTTTTCTCATTATCAGTGGTTGCTGTTTTCACCATTTTTTTTGTTTGCTTTGTTTTATTCTGTGTGAAGAGGAGCTGCAGAATGTGTTTTGGGTGAAGGGGTCCTATGAATGCATGGGTAAATAGTGCAGCCTGGAAAGGTGATAGCAAATATGCATAGGCACTGCATTTAAACTGCAAAGCCATTTGATGTTCACAATATGTGAACTCCACCATAGTTCCCCACCTTAGAAGTAAAGTAATATCCTGAAATCTTGTGTAATACGTTCATTTTTCTATAGGATACAAGTGTGGAATTTAAATGTACTTTTTCAAACTCCTAAGCAAGTATTCTATGCACTGGATTGAATTGAGGAAAATATTATCCTTCAAATTATGTACTCATTTTTGTTCTCTGAGAAGCTGGTGAACACTTATATCAAATGTCATCTTGCTAATAATCTTGTGGGTGTGTTCAACTATTCATTCAAACTTTCAATTTGTTTCAGATTAAAATATGATTTAATCCATTTTACATAGGAGTAGAGCCAAACAACCACTATACAAATTATACCTTGAGAATGGGTAAATTTTTTGTTAAGATTTATTTTATTTATTTTAAAGACAAAGTTACAGAGAGAGATAGAGACAGAGAGAGGTCTTCCATCCACTGGTTCACTCCCAGATGACCACAATGGCCAGAGCTCCACTGATCTGAAGCCAGGAGCCAGGAGCTTCTTCCAGGTCTCCCACATGGGTGCAGGGGCCCAGGAACTTGGGCCATCTTCCACTGCTTTCCCAGGCCATAGCTTAGCATAGAGCTGGATTGGAAGAGGAGAAGCCAGGTCTAGAACTGGTGCCCATATGGGATGCCAGTGCTTCAGGCCAGGGTGTTAACCTGCTGCGCCCAGCATTGACCCCAAGAATGGGTAAATTATATTTAAAGAATGGAGAATGGTGGATTTTATAAATGTAATCAATAGTTATGTTTTGCTTGTAGTGACTGGTATGGAGGTTATATTCATACTCCCAAGAGGTGATAAATTGGCACAGCACAGAACTGGGAATCAGAGGGTACTAATTTTACTTCTGTATCATCATGGACAAGTTACTCTTCTTGAACTAACATTAAAAATAATAAAAACATAGTCTCAATGAAGTCCATATTCACTCAAAAGCTTTGGTTGTGTAATAATTCAAAGTGAAATAAAGATATAAAGACAGGGGAGAGTGCCTATTGCTAAGAATTTGCTGGTGGCAGGCTGTGTTACATAAATAACCATAGGCTTGTGCTGGGACATGGAAGGAATTGACATTGTCTGTGCCCACAGCCAGGTATGATGACCAAGACTCTGGAAGCAGATAATAGGACAGCAACAACACATTTCATTCTTCTGGGATTTCCAACACGACCAGCCTTCCAGCTTCTTCTCTTTTCTGTTTTCCTGGCAACCTACCTGTTGACACTGCTTGAGAACCTTCTAATCATCATAGTCATTCGAAGTGATGGGCAGTTGCACAAGCCCATGTATTTCTTTCTGAGCCACCTCTCTTTCCTGGAGATGTGGTATGTCACAGTCATCAGCCCCAGGATGCTGGTAGACTTCCTCAGCCACGATAAAAGCATTTCCTTCAATGGCTGCATGACTCAACTTTACTTCTTTGTAACCTTTGTCTGCACTGAGTACATCCTTCTTGCTGTCATGGCCTTTGACCGCTATGTAGCCATTTGTAACCCACTACGTTACCCAGTTATCATGAACAATCACCTTTGTGGTACAATGGCTGGAGGATGCTGGTTCTGTGGACTCGTGACTGCCATGATAAAGATGATTTTCATAGCCCGACTTCACTACTGTGGCACACCCAATATCAATCACTACTTTTGTGATATCTCTCCACTCCTCAACGTCTCCTGTGAGGACTCATCACAGGCTGAGCTGGTGGACTTCTTCTTGGCCCTCATGGTCATTGCTGTTCCACTTTGTGTAGTGGTCACATCATACATCACCATCCTCACCACCATTCTCAAGATCCCGTCTTCTCAAGGCCGTCAAAAGGCATTCTCCACCTGTGCATCCCACCTGACAGTTGTGAGTCTCTTCTACTCCACAACCCTTTTCACCTATGCCCGCCCCAAGCTCATGTACGCCTACAATTCCAACAAAATGGTATCTGTTCTCTACACCGTCGTCGTACCACTCCTCAACCCCATCATTTACTGTCTGAGGAACCGTGAAGTAAAAGCATCTCTGAAAAAGACTGTACTCTGCCTTGGAATTGGGTCTAGGGGAGATGAGACTGTCAGTAGTTAAAAACCTGTGTCGACCTGTAAGGCCTGAATTGGAAGATGATTACTACACACTTTCTCCCGCAGTCTCAGCTGTAGTTAGGCAATAACACACAGAACTTTAACACTGCTCTCTGAGGGTACACTTACGACTAGAGAATCAGATTTCTGAGAAGTAGTAACCTCTCCTATCAGGACCAGAGGAAAAAAATGTTAAGCATTTTCATAGAAAAATATTTGAAATGAGGAGTAAGGAAAAGAGAAAGGAGGTTCTTTTTTTCACACAACTTACCAAAATAAATTTTGGACAGGATAAGGAGTAAAACCATATTCCTGCTCTCAGATTAGGAAAACGTCTTTGAATATTCCATCCTTGAGAAGTAAAAGAAAATGAAGTAATACGCTCCTAACTTGTTGAGGCTTTTAAAATAATAGAACGTAAATTAGAAAGTAAAGTAGAACATATTTGTAGCCTACATTATAATATCTTTAATATTAGAAGAGGCCAGGAAGGATTATCCCCTGCAGCGGTCAGAGAGGCCATGGCCCTGCCAGATTCTTGGTTTCTGTTTTTCAACCTGCAGAATATTGAGAGAATAATTTTATGTTTTACTGGTACTTTAAAACTGGTACTAGAAAACTAATATGATATACAATGAAACTTAATAGTATTTAAAAATAAATATTTAAAAATAAAACTTGAAGGACATTGAGAAACTCCAAATTTCAATTGTTTATGTAAAGATAGCATCCATAGTGGATAAAAGTTAAAGACATAAATATTTGTATGACTGATACTCAAAAGTCAGCAGTACCATTATCTTTTTAGAAACATCTTATTTACTTTATTTACTTGAAAAGCAAAGAAAAGGAGAAAGAAAGCTAGAGGTCTCCAATCCACTGGATAATTTCCAAGGTGACTACAGTAATCAGGGTTGAACGGCTGAAGCCAGGAGCCAGGAACTCAATATGGTCTCTCCATGCGGTTGGCAGGGATTTAAGTTCTTGAACAATCATCTGCTGCCTACCAGGCTGCACATTAGTAGGAATCTGGATTGGAAGTAGAGGCTAAACTCAATTCCAGGCACTCTAATATAGGATACAGAAGTTCCAAACACCTGCCCCCACATTGTCTTTTTTTTCCATGAGCATTTTGACATCCCCTTATGTTGTACTATCTGTGGTTAAATACATTATTTCAAACCATGAAGTCACCTTGGAAATATTCAATTCCTTTGACCCTGTAATTTCAAATCTAAGACTCTGTATTAGGGAGGTAATTCATGTGGTTGTATACATAAATATTCAAATTAGAACCTTTAATAAAATATAAAAGCATGTAAATATCCCCAGCTAGAGGAATATTCAGCTAAAATGTGATTTAATTACTAAATACAATATTAAGTGGACATTGGGAGCCATGTTTTTAAACAAATAATTTTAAATTATCTTATTTCTCTTATTTTTCCACTTGCTTAGGAACTTATTCAGATATAAGAGTGGTGATGTTTGCCTTCCTAAAAATCCAACAGAATATCTATTATAATCAAGTATTACAATCCATGGCTCTTTATCATTAGTGCTATTTTAGTTATGGGAGCATATTGAATGAAAACAATAACATCAAGTATGTCTATTCTAATGTGCTTAATATTTTATGTGATGTAGTGAATATAAATACACATTCATTATAGAATTTTCAGAAAATATGGGCAAGAATCTGGCAGGGCCACAGCCTCTCTGACCGCTGCAGGGGAAAATCCTTCCTGGCCTCTTCCAGCTTCTCATGTTTGCCAGCAATCCTTTTCCTTCATTGACCTGTAGATGCGTCACACCACTGACACACTTCTCAACCTTGTTCCTTCATTGACCTAATATATATATATATATATATAAATTATATATATAAAATATATATAAACCTATGACATTGCATGCTATAATTTAAATTTCATAAAAATTCGGGTATTTGTATAATATAGTCATTAAATGTAGATAAGTAGATGTGTGTGTATATATGAGAAAATATTCCTAGAAAAGTTGTAAATGACACTTTAAAGTTATTTTCTCCAGAGTTATGACTTGCTTTAAAATTGTCCATATTTTCTGCTACTTCCTCATCTATCAAAATATTAAATTTTCTCTTTCCTTTATTCTCAAACTTTGTATCATTTTGATTTGATATCATTGACAAGGACTGAATTTTCAGTAACATATTCATAGACTGTCTTATCATCTATCCCTTTGCCCAAGACACACACAAAATCTGATTGTATGGGCGAGGGACCAATGAGTAAAAATAAATAAGAAATGGGCAAAATGCAGAAAATATGAAAAGGGAATATTTGAGGATGCTAAAACCAACAACTTCTTACTATAACATAAGTAAATATCAAGAACAGAATAATTGTGTTAAAAGTATGTTTGTAGTTTAGTTCTGTAATTGATGCACAGTTATTCTTAAGTGTTGAAAATTAACTGAAATGTGATCCCTGTTGAACGTGGGAGTGGGAATGGGAGAGGGAAGAGATGTATAATTTGGGACATGCTCAGGCTGACTTGCCCCAAGTGGTGGAGTTGGAAGCATACCAGGGGATTCCAATTCAATCCCATCGAGGTGGCATGTACCAATGCCATCTCACTGTTCCAGGTTATCAGTTTCAGTTCACAGTTGGTCATGGAGGAGGGACTGGGAGTCAAAGGGAGTACATAGACAAGTCTAGTACCTGCTAATGCTAACCGATGGAGTAAATAAAGGGGAGAGTGATCCAACATGGGAAGTGAGATACTCAGCAGACTCATAGAATGGCAGATGTCCTAAATAGCACTCTGGCCTCAGAATCAGCCCTAAAGGCATTCGGAGCTGGCTGAAAAGCTCATGAGAGTATTTTAGGCATGGAAAGCCAAGACACTCTGGCAAAAGATCTCTGCGAGTGAGATCCCAGTGGAAAGAACAGGTCATCAAAGAAGGAGGTACCTTTCTCTGAAGGGAGGAGAGAACCTCCACTTTGACTATGACCTTGTCTAAACAAGATAAGAGTTGGAGAACTCAGAGGGCTTCCATAGCCTTGGAAACTCATGACTGGAGCATAGGGAGACTACTGATGCCATAGACAGGAGTGTCAATTGGTAAAGTCAACAACAGGAGTCACTGTGCACTTACTCCTCATGTAGGATCTCTATCCTTAATGTGCTGTGCATTGAGATTTAATGCTATAATGAGTACTCAAACAATATATTTCACTTTGTGTTTCTATGGGGGTGCAAACTGTTGAAATCCTTACTTAATGCATACTAAACTGATCCTCTGTAAAAAAAAAAAAAAAGAAATTATCAATTCCCAACTTGACTCTCACTGGGATTAAACATGACAATAGGTCTGATCTGATTTCATCATCATTTAAAAAAAAATCATCTATTATTTTTCACTTTATGTTTCTGTGTGGGAGCAAACTGTTGAAATCCATACTTGATGTATACTAAGCTGATCTTCTGTATATTAAGATAATTGAAAATGAATCTTGATGTGAATGAAAGGGGAGAGGGAGTGGGAAAGGGGAGGGTTGTGGGTGGGAAGGACGGTATGGGGGGAAGCCATTGTAATCCATAAATCGTACTTTGAAAATTTATATTCATTAAATAAAAGTTTTTTTTAAAAAAAAAGTATGTTTGTAGAAAAGAATTTTCAATACTGGGCTAATATTGTAGTACAACAAGTTATGCCTCCACTTGCAATTCTGACATCCGTTAGGTGGCAAGTCAGAAATTGAGCCTATGTGTGTATGAGAAGGGTCTGAAGACCAGCACCTACCACAGAAGCTCTAGAAGCCCAGCATCTTGCACTTCAAAGTCCTGCTCAGAACCTGATAACTTCCCAAGTGGTCTCAGCCCTTCCCCCAAGGAAAACTCCCAGGGGAATTCTCTCTTCTCAAGACCAAGTGGGCAATAAAACCTTCTCAGATGCCCTAAGGGAAGCCCCCCTACTCTGCCTAGCAAATCTGGGGAGGAATCTGCTAATTTTCACCCAACAAACCTTCCACCAGGACTCTCCATTCTTTGTCCTGAAGGAGAGGGGGAGGTGGGTAAAGAGACCCCCTTAAAAAACCTAGGGAGTCCAAACAGTCCACTCAGCCCTCTGCCTCTCTGCTGAGCCGCCCCGCCTGGCCTGCCCGGGTGTATTCTCTCCCTTCAACCATGTAACCTTGTTCTGCCCGGGGCCGAGTGACTGGGTGCTGGCTCTCTGTCCCTTCCGTTCTGATGGATGCCCTATCCCCAATAAAGCCTCATCACTGATCTCTGTCTCACACCTGATTTCTTTTTTGCCTTTTTTCCGGTGACAACATCCCATTTTGGAATGCTGTTTTGAAGGCTGGCTGCTCTGCATCAGATCCAACTCCCTAACAATGAGCTTGAGAAAGCAGCAGAAGATGGACCAGATCCTTGGGTCCCTGCTACCTACGCAGGAAACCAGCCGGCATTCTAGGCCCTGACTTCAGCCTGGCCCAGTCTGGATGCTTCAGCCTTTTGGGGAGTGAACCATTACACGGAAGATCTCTTTCCCTCTCTTTCTCTCACTCTGCCTTTCAAGTAAATAAATCCTTAAAAATAAAATGTTAGCACCGCCCATGTGGCATAGCAGGGAAAGCTGCCGTCTGTGCTGTTGACATCCAATATAGGCTCTTGTGTCCTGACCATTCCACTTCTGATCCAGCTCCCTGGTCATGTGCCTGAGAAACCAGCGGAGGATGACCCAAGTGTTTGAGCCTCCTGCACCCACAGGGCAGTCCTAGAAGAAGCTTATCTCCCTCGCTCTCTCTGTAAATATGACTTTCAAATAAATCTTTACAAATAAATAAATAATAAAATGTTGATAGCATTAGCAGGCATTTTCTGGAAGCAATGTGAGAGAAGCTGTGGAAAGGGAAAGTAGCTAATTATCATTTACATAGAGGACAATAACTTCTGCTGAGAATATAAGGTTAATTTTTGCAAAACAGAAGAAGAAATTTTAGCAGGACAAGGAAGAGATGAGGGGAGCACTTTGTTCAGGAGTAAACCATATTTGGGATGATCTCTGGGTCTTTGAAATATTACTGTAATTATCTTTTCCTTTTAATTTTCATCATAATGAATTTTTTAATGTAAAAAGAAGAAGGGCTGCCCAAGGAAACATACCTCATTAGCATTAAGACTAACTGTGAACAGCATGATCTTTATAGGTTTCACTAACACAAGGGAGGATTTTAAAAGATGGGGGCAGGACCAGAGCTGTGGAACAATGAGTTAAGCTGCCACCTGTGAGGCCAGCACCTCATATGGGCAGGAGTTTGAGTTTAGGCTGCTCTACTAATCTAGCTCCCTGTTAATGTACCTGGGCAAGCAGTGGAAGATGACCCAAGTACTTGGGCCCTGCCACCCACATAGGAGACTCAGAAGGAGTTCTAGGCTCCTGACTTTGGCCTCGCCTAGCCCCAGTCATTGCTGCTATTTGGGGAATGAGCCAGTGTATGAGTCATTCTCTCTCTCTCCCTCTCTCTCTCTCATTTTCTCTCTGTCCCTCTCT